TTTAATAACGGCAACTGCTGTTAAGTGCAATCATCTGATTTAACAGTTCAACAGTGATTCGTAGGGGTTATACCATACTGTTTTTATTGTTATAATTGCACCAGTTATCCACAAGAAATAATGCATTTATTCATTTAATAATTAACTTCTGATCAAAGTTCCTCAGTCAGTAGAGCGTTGAACACGGAACCGAGAGGTGCAAAGTTCAAGCATCGCGCGTTCTTCCTTCTGAGGGTGAAAAATGACTACCATGTGTGAAGGAAGCAGAAAACTACATGCTACTCTTGCCACATGACTGTATACTCAGCCTTTGAATTAAGGCACTCTTGGCTGAAGGCGTAAAAATGGTGATCACCATCAACATCATGAAGGTTAAAAAAGACTGACGTTCCAGAGGTCACAAACTTTCCTTTCCATTGTTAATTACATATTCTGAAGAAATTACTCGCGTTTCGAACTCGGTCGTACAGTTTAAGAGTAGCCATAGTAACCTTTTACTCTGCAAATGGATCGAGGTCTATCCCAAACATCAGTAATTCCTGTAAAACGTTGTTAATTACAGATTTTACGCGTTGTTCTCCCGTGTGTGATTTTCTAGCACTGTCATCTGCGTAAAGAAGCCTTGTACTAGTTTCAATTTCACGGTGTTCTAATCAATGCAGGAAAAATATAGGGGGGAGAAGCCATGAGAATTTTTTACACTGAAATTAGTCAGAATTTCATTTTCAAATTGAGTTTTTCCCACTTTGATGGAAAGAATTATGTTCGGAAATCGACTGATCAATGTACAGGTATGTAGTACGCACATCTACTAGCAAGTTCGTAGGTTCCTACTTCTTTTCCTCATTCTGCTGCTCAGTTATCCACATCAGATATTGAAAAATGGTTCAATGACGTCGGTATCAAAACCCTTGAGTTTGTGACTGACCATCCCCGAATCTAATCTAACAGCGCCGCAAGTTCCTGTCCTGATGCCAGAAATGACAGGAATGTTGGTATAAATTCTTATCATTTCGATGATTCCGTTCACTAATAATTGGGGGACAATGGTCATCGTAAACTCTGGGCATCACACAACAAACTCAAATTTGTTTTGAAAACATTTTAACAATCCCGGTAAACTTTTAGCCGGCTTTGATGTCACAATACTGGCATTACTTGATTACTGAATGTTCTAAAGCAGTAACGCCTAAATGTTCTAATATTGCATACTTAAATATTGAAAGGTCAGATAAAACGGGCAAGATTTTTTTTAGTCTGGAGTGGAGAGCTCAGAATAGTGGAGAACTGAGCGATAAAAAGGGTGGACGAATTTCAGAAACTTTCGAGAGACAAAAACATTTATCATTTGAGCGGAAGTCAGTCTAGGATGATGAGTACAATTAGCTACTTTGACTTTGTTGCGGGATTAGTTCTGCACAGCTGCCAGCAAACACAACGTAATCTGAAGACTAAATTCGATTTACAACAAAACTTAATAACACCAACTTTGTTCAAAAACTGAAAATTTTTGAGATGCTGTTAGAGATGGAATCACATATATGCAGCGGTTCTCACCATCGATTTGAACTATAATCGCACAACGCATCAGCAACTGCATACGGACCTTGAAAGTTTGCAATCATTGGGATGTTACTTTACCTTATAGTTCTTCAAAACGGGCACAACTTGTGACATCTCTCCGAGAGAACTTACGGCTAAAGCAGCTTTCCGCTTTATTTACCTGTATCTGCCTGTAAATAATGTCTTATTTTAAAGGCATTATTTACAGCAATGTGAGAAGTACACATTCTGTTCCCTTTCCAGCAAGCTGTGCCTATGTATCTACAGTAAAAGGCGATTGACATGACGAGACGCGATTCGACTTTCTGACTGCGAATCCAACACTCAACTAACTAATCCCGTATGTAGCTACGCTGAATCGAACCATCACCCAAGAAACAGTCAGGCGTAAGACACGGCTAAGAGAACATTCAGCAAGAACCGTCCCTATCTGAATGAGAGCACTTATGTAGTCGAGAACTGGTATTATAGCAACGCCGCCCCTCCACCCTCG